CGCGGCATTCATGATGCAGACACAGCAGTGGGCATTTTGGGGTGGGTTTAAATAAACAAACAACAACAACAACAAGGAAAAAAGGGGAAAAAAAAAAGGTGGTTTCGAGTGAAGTTTTTAAGGATTGAAACTCACAGCGCTTACACTAAGTGCTTACAAAATGACATCCCTTAAGCAGAAGATTACTGCTGTAAGGATCATGATTAGTTCCAAATTGTCCTTCCTGGTGTGATGGGAAGGAGAGGAAGGATTGCACAGCACTGCTTATTATTGGGGAGCTTGTTCATGGGAGAAAAAGAATAAGGACAAAAAGCAATGCACAACGTAAAGGTGTTAAATTTAGTACTATGCATGTGAAGAGCAGCTCTGCCCAGGAAAGTAAACAGACCACCTCTCATGTTCTCATCACTCAACATGAAAACTATGCAGGAGGTAAGTCACACAGCAGCTGATTCCTATTTGCATCCAGACAGCATCCACATTCTAAAGAAACTTAAGCTCTAGCCCAAGTACCACTTCTTCTATCTTATGTCTACGCACAAGAGCATTATTCGTATTTCAAGAGGCTGGCTTCGAATTTTATGATATTTAGTTTGTGTTTCAGGCTGTCTCTAAAAGCTGTTTCCTTAAGTGCTCCTTTTCTGTGGCTTTAATAAAGCTTCAAAATGCTCACAGCTTAGCTGACCTGCATAGCAGAAGCTCAACTATGTCTTAAGTCACAGGCTTAGGAACAGTTCAGCTGTGATTCTCATTCTAAGGTTATGGCCCTTGACCAGCAGCAGAGCAACTACAGGATAATGGAAGTTCAAGGTGTAGAGGAAAGGCCAACGTCACCCTGATAGCCCCTGGGTGCACGGTTGCTTGTCCAGTCCGGCCTCATCTGATAAGCAAGAGCCGTGAGGAGCTCTTGCCACCTGTGAACTATGCCCGGCTCTTCCTTTTCCAAGATCTCCAGCATCTGTTACCTAAGTTTGGATGTTGGTCAGACACATGCTCTGCAAACAATGCTCTTTTGCATATGTTGCTTAAGTTAGCCCTTTAATAGCACCTCCGTCTTCTCTCCAGAGGGGAAAAACAAATAGACAAGAAGGGTTTCCAGTGCCTTTGTCCTGCTGGATTCCATTATTGTCAATCCTGAAGATAAAAGGACAAATTACATCCACTGTTTTTAACGGGTCAAAAGCAAAACGCACGGCCTGGTATCGTCGTTAGGCATTCATTGCTGTGAATGGCAAAGGCATCGGAACCTCCCCCCTTCACGGGTCCTCAGCATTTACAGCAACCAAGTGCTGTACAGTATGATCACCTTAGGCCTTGCCTTGGCAGACACTGATTAAAAGTGAATCAACTTCAAAGGGATGAATCATACGTGTGAAATTAGCATTCGTGTAAGAGTTTGCAGGCTTGGGGCCTTAGGGTGTACACCTTCCACCAACTCGCTTTAAAGAAATGCAGGTGTAATGTATATCCAGACTTGACTGGCTTCATTCTTTTTAATGCTTGCTCCCCTAGCAACTGGAAGGGTTATGGCAGGATCGGCTTCGTCTTGCTCACTCAGTTTTCCATGCAACGGCAAGAGGAATCTCCTACACTCAAGAGCCGTAAGGACAGACTTTGGGGTACTTTTGGAGCCAGGAGTGTTCAGGTTTTCACTCTACCTTAGATTTCCTGAAGTAATGTAAATGTAACCTTGCAAAATATATGAAGCATTTAAATTCGTATTTACGTGGGAGGTAATTTTACTGCCTCTAATCTGATGTTCTCACAGCCCTATTATACCAGCAACTCCCCACTTTCAACCTTTTACCACTGTACTATAAGTAAATGAAAGTGCTTTTACTACATAAAATATACACCATTTTTATTCAGGACATTTCCCTGCTTAGAAGAGTTTCTGTTATTAAAAATGTATTATTCTATTGTTTTGAAAATGAATTATCCCTTGAGGGTATTCTAAGAAGCTAAAGGAATGCTACTAATTTTGATATGTCAAGCAACTGACCTAAATTAACAGTGGTCTGTTTAGGTACACACACAAAGTGAATGAGACTGCAGGCAAATTGTGCAGTTAAAAATGAAAAAACGGAAATGCAACAATTTCGTTCTTATTTAGAAAGGGACTTCACGTCTTACTAACTAAAGAAAGAAAGGAAGAGTCACTTAAAGTCAAAAATATTAGAAGATGATCACTGATTGTGTATAAGCCTACAGATCAAATTGCTGGTCTAGGAGGTGACACTGCTGTGTGAAGAAGCTTTTAAGAGATGTAACTCCTGACCATTTGTACAAATTATTAAACGGAACAGAGAAAACAGTTATCGTTATACATATTTGCATGTTAGGTGGAAAGGCAAGCCAGTGAGAAATGTGACACATAAAACCGAAAGGAAGCTATTTTAAAGATAAGTGGATACTGTACTGCAATTATATTCCAATTAAACAAAAAATAAAACTGGATTCAGCTGATGCAATACTCAGTAAAATTGAGAAAGGTGCAACATTAAACAACCTAAAGCACTGATTGATCACAAGATCACTTAATCTCTTCACTTTCAGCATACAACTGCTTAATAAATAGAATTTAAATATTATTGTAGCAGAAATCTTTTTAGTGGGTATATAACTACGCACATATATAGCTGCCAGATCTCTACAATTCTCCTTTATGTGCTTCTCAGTGTGAAATGCAGCCTGAGCGTGCGGCAGATCTTAAATACAAATTTATGAGCTTAGTCTTCAGTCAATTCATTCCAACAGTAGAAACAAAAAGAGAAACTGAAAATGGTTAAGCTGCAGTTTCTTTTCACAAATCCCCATATCAAAATGGGCGTGCAGCTTTAAAGAGCTTAAGAGTCATAGTAGGAGTCTAATATAGGAGTGGCAACGCTGAGGAATCCAAACAACAAGCTCATGTGAAATTCCTCAGGCAGTAGTTGGGTGCGGTAAAAAAAAAGTAGGTGCCTGATTTGCAGGAACATCTAATGGTATCTAATGCTTTAGCATTTTCTCACATTGGACTAGGGCCACGTCTGTTCAACTGGGAGGTTGTTTGTTTGATTTGCTGTTGGGCTTGTTTTTGCTTTAAGACTTTAAGAGTTCGCCACTGAAGGGCTTATATATTGCTAAAACAAAGCAACAGCTACAAAGCCATAAAGGACATAGAGTAATAAGGCAATAGCACAGTGTGTCCACCCAGGACTCCCAGTCTTAAGTTAATAGGGCCTGTTAGGTTTCTACATCAAGTCTTTGAGGCAGGAAAAGCCTGCACTGCAACCAGTGCATTGGCAGGACTGCCAGACCTCCCCGAGTGCTCAACCAGCTTGACTGACCAGCTGAACTTGTCAACATTTGAAAGGCGCAGGAATATTTGGGGACAGAGACGAAAATTATTGAAATTCTATCACTACTCTGAGCTCCTCTTTGGAAAAAAGCTTTTCGCCTGCCACCGTACAGACGGAACATGAGATAAGGAGCTGAAAGTGGATCAAAGACACGCAAAGAGATTAGGGCATACAGCTCCCAACAAGTTCAGTTGGAAGATCAATGGCTCTATGAATTCCCGGAGTTTAAACTAAGTGTTTATGAATTGATCTTTTCTAACAGATGACTTATATATTCTGTGCCACGACGACTTCTTAAGACTATGCAACATGGAAAAGGCTAGCCAAATGCCATGTCCATGCCTGCCATCCAAGAACTGTTGACATTCAGAGCAACAGGAAGAGGAAATCCACAAACCAGGCAGAGCCGTGCACCCATCCCATATAATTATGAGTGGGTGGAAGAGGAAAATCAAAGAACCAGTCATCCAGCAGGAAACTAGAAGTGGCACAGATAGAAGGGAAAAATTAAAACCTGTCGGCCTATTGGTGTAGTTTGTGCCAACTGAAACAGCCTTGTCCTGATGAGAAAGGGGGGCACAAAGAAGACAGCCCAGGATCCCGTACTCTCCCTTCTGACAGTCAAAATGAGTGTTCAGTCTGCTTATGTTTTATAAGGAAGTCTCATAGCAAAGGCTGGGACCTGACAAACACTCGGTGGGAAAGCAGCAATAAGTTACCTTTGTGCTAAAATTCTGCATCCATACAAAGCTGTTTACTTTCATTTGAGATTATTTTTTAAAATCCTTTCATTTTGAGCAGTCGCATCCTTTGAAATGAAATTGTTTTGTGGTAGCTTAATTGCTGTTATTTACATACGACTGTTGATACTGAAACCTACCAGCAGGGATGGACTAAAACACAAACAGATATAAGGCTTATAAACTTTACATACAGTGGTGTATAAATTATTTTATTACCTGAACTGGATTGCATTCGTCAGTGGGGTAGATCCATATCTGTCTCTAGCATAAACAGTGGCACCAGACATCAACAAATACTCCACTAGTGGTAAATGCCCTTCAGAGGCTGCAATATGAAGTGGTGTTCGGCCATCGTAGTCTTCACAGCTCAGATTTCCACCCTACAAAAGCACAAATCCTTCACATGCTAAGACGACAATGGCTGCATATGAAAATGTTGGTACGAAAATAGATGTCTACATCAATTTGACCACCAAAATATTAAGCTTGTCAAGCTTACTTAAATTTTATCTTGCAGTGTTGTTTTCAGCACCAGGAAAATATTTATTCCACCTTCTCCTTGCCACCCCGCTCCTTACGTTTTCTCATTACAGCCCCTTCAGTTATGCTGTTTATTAAAATACAACCTCCAGCAGCAGTTTTGTGCCTATGCGGGCAGTTTGCTACTTAAAATTGTCTTAGTTTATTGTTGTTTTCAAGGTACATTTATCCTTTTTTTCTAGCCCCATTACTGATGTCTCATGGGTAGGATAAGCCAGTGTAAACAGAAAAAAAAGTATAGAAAGTGATACTGAGGAACAACTGCAATTTTTTTTTTTAAAGTATAACCCCAGCTAGAATCCAAACCTTGATTTCGCACCGAACTATGATTTGCTTAAACATATTTTTCAAGTTCCTTTTTTAATCGCAAAAGATTTACATCCAGAAGGTGGATACTATGAATATACATAAAGAAAGTTAGGCGAAGGAAAACAGCACAAACCATTTTAAAGAGTTCCAAAGTTAGCAGATAAGAACTTGCATATTAATCTACTTGTATTTTCACTGTTCAAAAGAAAAGGTAACAGCTGAGAACCTGATAGGGGAAAGAACATACCAGTTTTGAAAGGCAAAGACCGAAGTGCCTAGAAACCAATGGTATTAGTCAAAGCAGTTTGATTTTAAGACTCAAACATTTGTTTCCCAGTAAGCATGGCTTCCTCCCAGTCATTTACAGTGCCACTTAAATACTCGTATTTTACGCAAACAGTATTAATTCTACATTACCATTTCTTTTATGGCTCTTAGAGCATCTATGTCACCCAGCTTAGCTGCAGCACAAGCCAAAGGTGGAAGCAATGCATCTCTTACGGCTTCTAACTCCTGAGAAACAAATAACAAGGAACACTTAATATCATTCTCACCTGTAATATGATTGATGTCCAAGTCATTAAAATCCTGCCGTATGCTTTCACATACAGTTTCCAAATTAAACTTTTGGATATTTAAAAATGGTAGCACTTAGTTCTTAGAAGGAAAGAAGTCTCATGTTTATTTTTATATTTGGTAGGTTGTGTATCTGTGAAGTTATATATTCCTCCTCTCCAAGCAACACTCTAGTTACCCGATATCTATATACAGCATTTCAGGTGCACATACTAATTGCCATCTCTGGCAAATTTACACAACAGTAGAGGAAGGGCTAGAAGACATTGGAAAAGACTGTACAGTCCATTCTCCTCAATACTTGATCAACTTTATCCATGGGATCTCTCAGATATCTGCACAACCTGCACTTTCAAACCTCCACTGACAAATCCCACTGGTCCCTTAAATATTTTCCTGTTTCTCATGCACACTAAAGAAGAGCCATCCAAGTATTCATCACCTACTAAAAATCCCACCTGTCCTGAAACCAAGCCAAGAGCAAATGCTTGCAGTGCTCTTCACTGAACCACCAGTATTATGTTTTCTTATTTTCTGTGAGGAAAAATCACCTGTGTAGTGATTCCTCAGGATCAGCCTTCTCTTACTACGTGTATAATAAAGCTGTTTCACCCCTCATTATTTGGATTGCTCCAAACTGTCGATGCCTTTGACCACAAAAACACAAAGCACTTTTTCCTATCATTGATACCCTGAATTACAGCAAGTGTCTGAGGCCTGTGATTGTGCAGCCAGGCAGCCAAGAAAACAAACTCAAACTGAAGTTACAAAGAAGAAAAAAAAAAAAAGAGTTACTATGTTTTTAATTAAAAACATTTTAATGTTATGCTTGTCATTGTGTCTTTTCTCCCTAGTTAGCTGGGATGCTCAGTACTAAAAAAAAGATAATAAAAATAATAAAAAATACCCAGTGCTCCATTTTTTTTCCTTGGATTTTTTGTTCACTTTCAGATGAAGTTAGGTTCCTTGAAGTGAGTTTACAGTTTTACATGAGTTCAGTTTTAAGTATATCAGAATATACCTCCTTGCAGCTGATACTCAGAGATTTGGCAATCACTTGAATAAACTTGCTATCTCTCAGAGAGATCTTGTCTCCTGTGGGTACAACAGTCATTTCTCCTCTTAGATTCTCACTCAGCATCTGAAAAACGAGTAATCAAGTCCTTTGTTAGCAGGGAAAAATATGGTAGCAGTCTAATAAAAAACCTTAAGATCAAGAAAGAAAACTGTTTGGAAAAACTATGGAAACTAATTGAATGCAGACAAAAGTTTAAAAAATAGTTGCTGTCCCATGAAGATTGCAAGCTTAAAAAGACAAAGAAGGGGGGAAAGGGCAGGCGACTAAAACTTTCCTCTAAAGCCAAGATGCCAAGATAAGCACATAATACAACACCCCACTTTAGAGTATGCAGACAAAAGATCTCTAAGGGGGGAGCTAGTGGGGAGTCTACCTAGAAACACAAAGATAGTGAATAATTGGCAGAGAAAGCCTGAAGACCAGAAATTTCTGAAATGCTGCCTTTATCACCATTCCCAAAACACAGCATCGCTGTCTAAACACCTTCTGCACAGACTGGGTACTTAGGCCTCCAAACAAACCCCAGTGCTGCCTGTAGACAGTCATCTATTTTAATTCATTTTTCAAACATTAGCCTGGATTTTGTTAAAATTTGGACCTAACTTCAGTACTAGTCATTTATTATTAGCCATTTATTATTAAAGCAGGAGTGTAACAATTTTGCAGTATGGATGCATCCAGTAGAACCAGAAGAGGAAAAAAAAAAAGACAGCTATATAGTTCACTACATAGAAATTGCTTGAACCTGGCAATAACAAAATGAAAATACTCTAAAAGCTGGGTTTTGTGAGATGAGAAGAATTCACAGGAAGACTGAACTCAACCATTAAGAAAAAGGAACTGGTTTCCTCAGTTCTGAATTTTACATACTGGCATTCTTTCATTAAATGTTGCTGATGAAGCCATAAAGCATGGAGTTGTTTCAATTAGAATTTTAAAAAGCAGGATTGTGAAAGTTTGCAAGAGCAGATGTGATGTTGGAAGGAGGAATGCCCTGGGTTTACTATGTCTAGGCATGCCCTTTATGAAAGAACCCTCGGAGCACTGCCGGTGCCGTGGCTGCCTGTTGGAAGAGTCACTGACACACGTAACTCTCGGGAATAGCGACCGCTTTGGCGCTTCCGTGCTTGGCAGGCTGAGATCATCGCTTGGCCCAGGTAACTTTAGCAATTGGCACCTGTCCTGTATGTGCCCAACGCAAAGCCCCATGTGTCCTAGTCTGTTCTACCAGCTCTGCAGCCGTTTACATGTGTCTGGGGGCACATTCCTTGCTCCTTTGTGTTGAAAGAGACTCCTAAAATAACCACGCCAGCTTCAGGAGAGCTTCCGTCTCTGGGGAGACTATTGTTTGGTGATATGTTTAGCTCAGGATCTTGCCACAGACAACATATTTCCAAGCTTCCTCTCCTCCTGGTCTCTCCCATTCATTCCTGCGCAGGCAGCGCGGCACGCTGTGCCCCTAGCTGTGCCAACCCAATTGTTTGTGGGGCCCTACGATGAGTCAAATGAGGAAACTGATGGTGCTTTAGCTCACAGAACTTGCAAAGGTTACTTTGCTTTTCAAGCCGTGTCAAGGAGCTCCTGGTACCAGCTCATTAACACGACATGGCACGTTTCAAAGGGCAGCACATGAAGGTGCAGGAGCACCTTTGTGCCAGTGGTGCCTAAGATGTCATATCATCAAGTCCTCAACTAAGTAATGCAGTTACATTGTCTTGCAAAACTGGATCTCAAATTAAGTTTTAACCCATAAACCTGGGCAGAAAGCCACCTGGGAAAGTTTCTTCTGTTCCAGGTCGTGTGTTCCTCTGTGTAAACATTACAAGGTCTACAATAAATAGCAGGCTAGTATATTTAGAGCCCAGGTTAGGGAGCAAACTAAAAAAGCATCAGTGATGAGCTCTGATTTCTAAAGTGTTCATATACAAACATATGCTCACATAGAAGCAAAATAACAGCAAATCAGCACTAGATTTTTAACGTTTAGGTACCATTAATGAAAAATACCACTATTCTTCCCACAGCATTTTATGTTAACTGCTAATCATTTTTCTTGGACAGGGTATATTGTTGCCTGCCTTCCTGACGAGATGCACAGCTCCTTCTCCTCTCATTCTGTCAGCTCAAGCACTTTATCAAACAACTGAAAGCTCAGAATCTGCAAACTATTTCTAAGCACAGTAAGTGGTACTACCTCCCACCCAAGTTATGATCATAGGTATCCTAACATGTTTGTCTCAGAGCTGCTAGTGGGAGGAAGATACTGAGCATGAAATAATGCTCAAGTTTGTTTCAACTTTAATAAAAACAAATCACCACCACCAGACTCACACGTGCATGCCCAGCTTAGTCTAGAGTGACTCATCATGATGTCATTACCCAAAGTGTCAGGATTCTGATTTCACTGTATACAGGCACAGAAAGATGCTTTCTGGCAGACTGATGCTCACCCATCTAAGTTAGAACATTTAACACAGAACTGTGGATTCACAGTATTAAGGAACCGTCCTATTTGGGGGAAACATCTTGATTAAAAAACAATGAATAAAAAGAACCTTGCTAAATTGGTTAAGCTATTAAAGTCAGTTACAACTGTTTTTAAGATAATCCTCTATTTCTGATGCATTTACAAAATGTGTCCTGTTTTAGGAGAAAAAAAAAAAAAAGAAAAAAATCTAAAATTGACATGAGTAACACTGTAAAGGAAAGAACTGCAGGCACCATTTATTTTCAGAATGAACTTCAGGTGAAATCTTTACTCCACTTAAGTCAATGACAAGATCTTTACTGACTTTAGTAAAGCTAGATTTCTGTCTTTCCTATGAATTTCCACATACAGATTTTTAGCAGAAAGGTATCCAAGATAAGCTACTACCATTAAAACGGAGTACTTTTATGACTTGGTTGTGGTCTTCAATAGATTTATGCAGAATATATTCTTTCCTTTCATTCTGCATATATTTGCTTAACAATATTTTCTATATGAAAAAAAATGATATTCACACTGTGGCTCTGGAATCAATTACTTTGAAATGCAAGGGAGAAGGTCAAGCCATTCAGCTAGAGAGAAGCTAGCACAGTAGAGGAGAAAGTTAAAGACTTTCAAGGTCACACCAATATGTACCTGCCTCTTCTCCTCCCAGGTAAGTTCACACTTGCTGAGCGTGTATGATAGTTTAGCTAGGGCTGCCTCTGGTGTCATATCTCCTCCAGGAATTATTCCAACATCAGCGAGAGTCTGAATAAAAAGCAGTAATGACTTCAGTTAGCATTGCACTCAGGAATACTTGTGCATACAGAAAACATACGTGAGTTATAGGGAACCACACAGAATCCAATACACAGCCAAACCTCCACTGAGTCCTGCTCCTTTACAACTGTAACTTTCGTAATTTTGGTTATCAAATACCTGAAAAATACCTGCCAGATGAAAAAAGATGACTTATGTTTTAAATTCCTTTTCATTAAATAACATTGAAAAGTATTTAACCAAACACTTGCCATGGTCATTTACCTATGCTAAAATGGAAAGGTTACAGGTTGGTATGAGCTATCTGCAGCGTTGTCAGATCATCTTCACTGAAAAGCAGCAGCTACTGTGTTATCACCCAGTGGCTTTCCTCACTGAATATTGCCAAGCAGGCTGTTCTCTCACACACGTATTTACCATTCTTTTACGGGGTATTACTTTGCATGAATTCCAGCACTACAGTGTACTCACAGCAGGAGGGTTTTCGCATCTTTCCAGGCTGCACTCGCGGTATATGATTTAGAAAGTACAACTGAAATGCACAATTTACACAGGTCTGACAAGAATAAGTGCAAAAGATGACACAATCCTTTTAACCTATCCTTTCCATAGTTAAAAAAAAAAACACTGAACCAAGTTAAAAAGCAAAAATAAGCCAACTGTGCTATCCCCAGCAAGCTTTGTAAGTGCAAAGTGGGCAAGGCAGCAAAGACAAAGGAGATCTCAGACCTCCTGTCACTGAGAACAGTAGCAGGGCAAACACTCAGGCTTCTTTAAATCAGAGATCATCATGTTTATTATAATGTGATGCCTCAAAGTTAAGCATCTTGCAGTAGGTTCTTTACACTGATTTGTTTTTAAATTCCTTGGGTATAAACTGCAGTTTCAAAATGTGGTGTGCCTTAACTAGTATTTTAGCAAGATAGAGTGCCCTAATCAGTTCACTATCTCTGAGCTCCCCAGATTGGCATTTTTAAGACTCCCATAGAAAAATATCTACAGAAAAAGTGGGAGATGGAGAGCCAGACTGCATTTAGAAACAAGGAACAGTTAGAACTTTTTCAATAGGCTTGGGAAGGAAGAGGACCAAGGGATTTCCCAGCTTCCTTCCCAAACCTGAAGCTCGCTCAATTTCCACTCTCTGCTGTGCAGATGGACCAGAGGCCAGACATTCAGTTAATTAAAACAAATTCTTCAAGAGACTTAGCTGAGCCACTTGACTAGCTTGAATGCATAAAAAATGGCCAGCCCATATGCAAAAACCTGTAAAATGCTTTATTTAAAGAAAAAAAAAAAGAAAAAAAAAGAAAAGAAAACCAAAGTAAAGCTAACATTACAGACTTTCCAGCATTTGTCCACAATGCTTCCTCTGTAGAGGAGTTCTCTATGAAATGATTAAGTCAATGAAAGAACATGCATGAACTAGGATCTGGCTTTGTCAGTATTCTCCTCAACAGACACCAAGAAAACAGGACAGCCTCCCTCAAAGGATGATGAAGCAATATAACACAACACATGCTCCACATAAAATATAAAAGCAGAAGTGAACACTTTTCCACATAGCTTTACAGAGGAATAGTAAGACAAAAGCTAGTGACCTCACCAGAATCTCTTAATTAAACATACATTGGATAAGGGTGCAAAAAGCCTGTTTTTTAGAGGTGTCTATCTGGAGAACTTTTGAACAAGAGCAAATAAGAGTTTTGTTCCTCCCGAACATTTTAGCAAGTTCATTTTAAGTAGGATGTCACACAGAGGTTAAGCCTCTCTTTCATGTTGTTTTTCAAAAACAAATCTGGTGTCTTTTATTCACTCCAGTGCTTTCTTCTTTCTGTGTGAACTGTTCTATATAATCTATGTATTCTTATTGTATTTACTACAGATCAAGGAACTGCTTCGCAAAAGACCCCTCCTTAAGTTAGAATTCCTTCCCTTTCTGCTCAAAACAGCAAATTACATGTTCTGGAAGCAAATATAATCTAAAGCTGTGTCAAAACCAATGTTAAAACAGGCAAGTTTCAGCACCAGTCTAGAGGATTTAAGTTCACCTTACAGTCTAATGAAGGGACTAGCTCTGCCAGATGGATGGCTGCTCCCAATAAAAACAGGTGTCTAAAACAGGGAGATGAGTCACTCTCTGGCAGGGCTTCTCATGTATGTAATGGCTGGCCTTTTTTTTTTTTTTTTTTTTTATAAAGGTGAGTTAAATGAGCTTTCTTCACACTACCACTTGCAGCATGTACTGTTGTACGGCTTCGAGCTCTTACTAGCGTCGGTGTTGTCATGTCTTAACACAAAATTAAGAAATTTACTAAAAATGTCCTGAGTATTAAGAGTATCTACAAAAGGTCTGTTTTAAGCTAGCCTTCATAGCTAAGAACAATGGATTTCCATTTTGTGAGATCGATGCTTTCTTAGAAACTCTTCTCCCAATTTCACACTGAATTCAGTTGCGCTTTCCGTAAAACAAACGCTGGCATTTGCAGCATTGCTTGGAATTGCAAGCTTTCTTGCCGTTCTTATGTTGCAAATAAGTAACTATTGGCCTATCAAGTATTACTTTATTTGATCATCTGACCCATGAGCTGGCTAGCAGCTCAGTGGCATCCCTTTGGGAGGGATACTAACAATACAATGCAATAGTATTCTGGAGTAATGCAGAAAAAACAGGAGCCAGCAATAAATAACTGGGATTTGAGCTGACTATTTAGACCATTCAGCCTAGGAGTAACAGGATCTTGTTTATAGACAGATACTTAAATCCTTCCAGCTTAAGCTTTTTCTAATATCATTATTTTATAAGGAATATCTTGACAGTCTAAAAAAAATCTGGTTTTATACCCCAGGACTGCTAGAAGTACAGAACCACATTTCATCAATAAAATGTTTCATTTATGCGGCAGGAGAGTCTGAAATCAGTGCACAACCCTCACCTGCCCCGTAGCATAGACTGTTGTAACAGACCCCCGTAAGCACTGGGTGCAGTTCAGAATCACCACTTCGCGCTCAGTCGCTTTCTTCAGTTCTTGCAGCAAGTCTGCCCTGTTATTTGGGGCATTGCCACTTCCGTAAGTTTCAAGTACGATGCCCTCAATTGGAGGCTGAAGAAATGCTTTTACCTGTTTAAAAACAAGATAGGAAAGACTGCCAAAGGATGTGTTTAAATCACATTAAGATTTTTATAGGTGGCACAGAATTAAAAAAATGCCTATTACTGTTACAATCCTATAAGCAGCCCTGCATGCCCTTCTGTTCTCCCTATCTGCAATAACTGTAGAATAACCTTACAAAAATAAGAATTTTATTCCTTAGCTTCCTTAAAATCTATCCCTCTATGAATTAAAAAAAAAAAATTCTACAGTAATGACCCCAGCACGAAAAAGTATGAAATTTAGCAGGGGTAAATCTATTGTTTTGTTCTGCTGTGGTGCAACAATATAGGCTGTTAATTGCACTGAAACATCATACATAAAACACATGTGAGATTGGAACCCCCTACCATCCCTGCCAGATTCATTTCTTTAATGAACAAAAGTTTTGCCAATAAATGTCTTACTAAGGGAGATAGTTTCTCACCTGTCACAAAAGAACACTGCAATGAAGCCTAGAGTTTTTTTAAAAAAAACACAAGAAACAATTCATTTAATTCATGGCAAATTGAAAAAAAAAAAAAAAAGGAGAGATATTCACTCTGGGCCAATTGTTAATGAAGTAGTTATTGTACCTCATTGTAAGAGGGTACCTAACAAAGTTCTCTTCCTAAGAGCATGTATTTTAGACAACCTAGATGCTTCTCTGTTGATCACATAGGCTGTAATACACTGTAATCCCCTTGAGGCTAACAATGCAGCTGGAGTTTTATTACAAGGGTACCACCCCCCTGCCTTTCCATCTGTTCACACTCACCTAAAAAGCATGCTGATATAATTGAGGAATCCTGCTTAAACTACTGGATTCAATTTAAGATGGCAACAGCCACGAAAGACCTGTCACTTTAAAGGAACTAATTTGAGAGAAAAAAATTATAAAGACACAAACTACCTAAAGGCACACTTCTGCAGAACTATTTCTAATGGCTCAGATCAGCAAAATAATAATAAGAATCTTCAGGTCTTTATTATACACAGAGTCATCCTAAGCAGCAGTATGAAGAGAACTGAACTGTATTAGAGCATGAATTGCAGAAAAATCCACAGTGATCTCCATATGCCCTCCCCACCATGTATTCTTTGGCTGGATGTTTAGTAATATGCTTCATTGTGCAGCAAGAAAGCATTTCTCTGGTCACTGTAGCTGTACCTGTCTAGAAAAGTACATGTGACCTATTATTAGCCCCGGAAAGAAATGAGCTTTCAGTTCCAAGGCCCAGTTCAGATGTTTTAACAGCTTTCACCAACACTCTGTGCCATGAAAATAGTCTTTGAATGCCCTGGTATTACAAAATGTTTATCAGCAGACAAGATACCTTCCCTTCCCTCCAAGAACCCAAGCACTGCTACAGTGTCGCAGCTCTCAAATTCTGCCTAAGCAAACAAGTGTTTGAGCATCATTTAATTCACTTCCAGAATTCAGTGGCGACACTTACAGCAGCTGCGGTGATTCCGGGGAAGATTCGCAGAAGCCCAACGTTCCTGTTCATATTGGTGTGAACTCGAAATCTCTTTTTGGTGTTGGCTCTCCACACTGTGTCCCAATTTACTGTTAAAGAGAAATGGCTTTCCTGATTTAATATCAAAGACATGATATTAAGTACAATTGTAGTACTTCACACTTAGGACATTATCTTTAAAACTGTTTCCTATGTAGGCATTTATAAAAAACAGTGTATTTTTAAGAAGAGGGAATGAGGGCCCACTGAAGACAGAGGCCAAAGCAGCTAATCTACACCTTATTTATTACACCTTACTCGTTAGGTGCCACTGAAATTGTATTTAAGGCCACATCCAGTTTAGGTTCAGCTGTGTTATACTTCAGCTTTAATTCCAAAATAGCTTAGATCCCAACACAAATCATGACTACTGATCAGTATTTCTACGCTAGTGCACTTCTAAGATATTCAACAAGTATACTTGCTTCAATTTAATAGTATTTTACAGCAAACACTTCCAAATCAATCTCCAGCAGTGAACAGGATGATTTATCAGACACAAAGCTATATGCCCATATTCTAACCTCTCTTTGAGAATCATTTGAGTGACGGGACCTGACGGCTTCATGATGCTGAACATGTCCTGCTAGCGTCAGATTGCCCGGTTCCGAGTGCTCAGAAGGCCTCGGCCACATGGCATCAGGCAGCTCTAGCCTAAGATATTTCCTTGCCACACATTGCTTCAAACTTCACTGTTTTGTTATTGGGCTGATATCAACCTGAATTAATGTTTAGAAAGCAGATCTTCTCTGACATAAAAGATATGACAAGTTCTCAATGTCATAATAAAGACAGATGCAGTTACTGTAGCCACTAATCACCTCTAGAGTTTATTGTGTAGTTAGTAATGATTAAATAAAATAGCAAGGATTCAATTAACTCCGATTATACATTTAGAGCCAGAAGCCAGCTGTTTAACTAATAGTTGGGTTGTGTTGAACTATTAGAAGCCAAGTCGTGCATTACTGATTTCAAAATCTTACTGCTGTGATGCAAAAGCAGTGCTGGTAGTTCTGACGACACCCAGAAGGCTCTGGAAGAGGTTTAGCAAATGCCAGCCAGCATCTCAGTGCCATATGTCAATGAAAGCACATCACTTTCAGGTCATGTGAAAACACTACCTGTTTCCCCATCGAGATTTAAGCTTCTTAGTTTTTGGAGAAGCAAGCAGCAAGCAGCAAGAACAGGCAGAAGATCTAAGTGCATAATACTGGCTTGCTCTCAGCCATGTGAAGAGTTACTCACACCAATTACTACTGCAATCTTTTGCCATCAGCAGACAGGCATTTGCAAGAAAATCACAGGATGTTTAAGAGCCTCCACTGAAGTCTGCTCTTCTGCTCTATTACCAGAGATACTAAAAACTATATACACCAAGTCAGCATAGAAAATAGCAGCCATCTATAAGACAATTCCCAACTTTCCCTTCCAGTCGTGGTGCTTTAGTGTGCTGTCAGCATGTAGAGACATTGTATGTGCTTTCTGAAAAATACCTATTTTAAATCCTGGAACTTACATGAAACCTGAACCATAAACTGTAAAACAGTTCACAAGCAGTTAGCTTGGTATGGTGCTTATCCTACTAGGCAAATTCCAACAATGTATTCCTATTACTCTGGGAACAAGAGAATAAAAACATT